ATCTTCTATGATTTTATCTAGGTCCTCTTTCCAGTTTATTGTGATCCGCATATACATTAAGCCTCACACCTCCTGCTTTGTCATTTACAAAGAAGTTATAATACCATGACCAAGACCTTTCACTAATGTTATGCAATTCTTATTATCCCTTTCTTCAACTCAGGCGAGGCAATCGAAATCAAGGCTGACAAACTGAAGATCAAGCTGGACAAATATTGTAAACAAATGGCCCACCAATCCAGAACCAATTTGATCTGGGCAGACTGCCCTGATTTTTAAAGATCAAGTTGTACCGTGCTTCTTGTTCCATCTCTGTCGTTAGTTACAAGCGTTCTCACTAACACAAAGTGCATTTGACTAGCTTAGATAAACCCTAATAGGATGGCCAGTTGCAATTTGGTATCTTGCCCTAGCAACTGTTCATCCAGATTACTGCACTGCATTTTACATGCTACTCTTGAAAATGATGCAGAAATTTTGCTTAGTGTAAAATATTTCAGTAAGAATATAATCTGGAATTGGACATTGTGACATAGCACACCATATATATTAATATATTACATATATACATTAATAGCATTGCCATATTTGAAATCTTTATTAGTTAACAAGTAGTATGCCATATTTGAAATCTTTATTAACAAGTAGTAGTGATTTGAGATTTTTGTATGCAAATTGGGAAAAGGTTAAAATATGATTTTAGAAATTTTTAGAAATACACTCACAGCTCTTTTTAAAATAATTATTTCAATTGTCTGCTTCTTCTGATAAGAAATATCCTGAACTGTTGCTCTAAACTTTTTTACAACTATTACTTCTCAGGATTGCAATGGAGCCACTGATAGCTGTGTACCTTTTCTCAAGAGACTTGAAGGAGAGCTCATTCGAATGTTAAACTAAGTTAGGGTTAGCTAATATACCATTGAAAAAAACTGAACAATGGAAATGCTTTGAAGCAGATCTAGTTTAAATCTGCCTCTCTTCCCACATTTGTTTGTGTTAAGCTTGCACTCCCATAAATGGGATGGCCAAAATATTAGGTTTTTTCCCCCCCACATTTCTGATCACCAGAACTTTTATTATTTAAACATGCACGACAAGAGTCCATGCTATCTACCCTGAGATAGGCAACCAAAGAATCACGCTTTTGGAGCAGTGTCAATAAATTCAGGCCAGGCTAATCAGTAATTCCAGATGTTGTACTTCAAAATGACCATAAGGTATAGATTGTAACATTAAAAACTAGTTAGCCTGAATACTATGCTCCATTATGATGGAAGATTGGCTTTAGCTGTTGTATTGTCTTAAACCTTTTAATATTATAAACTTAGAACACCGTGAAGACCAAGACTGGGTTCTGAAGTAATTAAAGAGTCAGACTGTGGTAGAAGCTGCTCTTCTCCCTATGCACCCATTTTCAGTTCTGCACCACCAATCTTGTATCAATATAAGGAATACTTTGGCAAAGTTGGTAGTACATCACCAGCCCAGGAACTTTATAGCTCATAAAATGGCACTGAACAGAAAAATAACACGCTGCCTAGTATAGGATTTTCTTCATGCAAATTAAATCAGGGATTTTGAAAACTTAACACATATCAGATTTTAAAGTAATTTATTGGAAATTGTTAGATTACAAACAAGCATTTCCCATTTACAGAATGTACTGCTAACAGTACAAAGTATAGCCTTCCAGTAATCTGCCCATCATCCCATTTTTCAGGATTAAGATTCCTAGTTAAAGTTCCACTCAGCCCTTTAAAAAGTAGTACGTGGTCCAGTTACCTTTCTATAAGGCATTCCCTGATAGAGTACCAAACTTAGCATTTTCCTTGCTATATACTTTGCAAGAAGCTGTTAATAGTGGTAAGAACATTTCACTCTGACGTTTACTACCCTGTGAAAGTGCAACCCACTTACCCTTACATTGTTTCATTGACTTCTACATTAACATGCAGTAGAATTTACAGAAAATGGCTCATGTCACAGCAATATAAAAATTTGGATTCAGCAGTATGTTTAATCTATTAATTTGTACAGCTGAAGTGGGGTACTATTCAGCCTATATGCATGTTAGTGCTGTCTGTATTAACAATATATGGTTGATGTGGAACACATCAAGAGGTGGTATTTACATCTGAAATGTATCTTCTGAGTTGTGCCCACAGTTATCTTACCCCAACAATGCAATAATGGCATAAGAAACACTGACATTCAATACAATTTAACAGTAGCAGCTAAGCATTTTGAGAAACTTCTGGTGCGTTTAAGACTGAAAAACTTTGTTCCTTTATGTAAATTAGGGTCAGTTAAGCCACTGGTTTTACATTACATTGTTTAATAAAACAGGGTCCAAAAGAAGCAAAGGATAAGGTATTCTACTAGATTTGTAATTAAATTGCCACATGCTACACTAAAGCTAAGCTACACATATGCAAGATGGGATTTAGATAAGCAAAAACCATAGCAGGCATCCTTTAACTAAATTGCATGAATGTGCTTTAAGCTAGTTATACAGTTACCACTTAATAAGTTTCACTTTTTTTTAAATAAAACACTTCCATTTATACAGATTAACAAAAATCAGTGTTTACATGATGCAATCACTATCTACACTGATTATATTTTAAAATATACTTTATGATACTTTAATATCAACATAAATCATGAATTTGATTCACAGAATAAGTAGATCCACCATTTTAAGTTAACAATAATTCTTTATTGCTTTATACATGTGGTGCTTTTTCAAGGCACTGTGGCATGGATTAGAAAACCTGGAATGATTTGTGAGAGAACCTGGAATGACATGTAGCCAACATGGACAGTTCTTCAGAAGCAAGACGACAGGAAATTTAAATTCCAAGTTATTGAACATTGGGAATGAGAGTTCATAGTTCACAGGAGAAAATATCTTGTTTAAAGAACAACTCTTTTACATGCCCATCCTGATACTCTGAATAATCTGGAAGATCGCTATAAAACAAAATCAAAAAGTATTACTAAGCAAAGTACATTAGCATTCATTAAATGGTACATGCCTTTTTAGTTAGTTTAGCTCCCTTATCTGAAAGGACCCCTATTTCAATGCTCTATCATTTGCTTATCAACTTATTCAATAGTACAGAAATAAAATAATCCCCTCAAATGTGACATAAGTCAATTCACACATTAATAACATGTAAACAAGTTATTGCAGTGTACAAACTTCTACCAATGTTTAGATTACAATATTGCAAATTTAGATGTTTGTAGTACAGTACTACTTTCCTTTATGTGTAATCTATTTTTATAAGCATCTTGCTAATGAATGAGCAAATCACCCTAACAGTTAAAGTTCAAGTATAAGGCAGCAAGTTGTTTCTTATGTAAAGATATTTTAAAAGTATATATTTATCACATTTATATGGTTGGCCACCTCACACAAGAGACTCTGGGAGGTCTACAACAATAAAAATATGCAAAACAGTCATAAAAATATAAAATGAAATATTATACACATTAAAATATAAAGTCTAGCATCAAGTAATAAAACCCATATGGTCTTACATAATTTGTAATGGTAAACAAAGTTGAAAGCTGATAAAAGGCACAGGTGAATAGTCACATGACCCCCCCCTTTAATAACAGTGCTTAAGGCTACTTTGCATAAGCTTTCATCTTTTTTTTTGTTTTTTTGCAAAGCTTTGTCCTGAGCCATCTGGTATACAGGAAGCCTATTATTTTCAATGAAGTGATTAGAAATGAATTGTGAAATGAACTTTCAGGAGTTGCTCACATACAAATGTTACAGAATTAGAAAAAGATCAGTGTCAGCTTACTGAAAAAAAGGCTTGATCAGAAAGTACCCTAGGTCAAGCAGCTTGTAAATTAGAGAAGTGCACATCTGCATCATATATTCTGATTGCCAAATCGTTGTAAAGTATTAACTACTGCAGCAATATCTTCTCTACACCCTCCCAAATACACAAACATCTTCACCTGAATGCCTGTCAGATGCAATGTCACATTTGGTTTCCTGAAACGCTTGTTTCAATTCTTGCTGCTTTCCCAGAGTTCTCCATTTGTGACTATTTCTTCATCGAAGATATGTTCTGAAATAGTCTTAAGCATTTCCCATCCCCGCCTGATCTGGGTCTGAAGCAGCCTGGATCATAACCAAAACCGCTCGCCTCGCCTCCCACCCCCACACACGTTGCAAAGGGACCCACTCGCATGCTCGGCCCCTCTAGCGAAGCCAGCACCACTGCAGGGCCCCTTTCAATTCCTGGGGG